AAGTGCCTACACTATCATCCAGAAGCTTTAGCTTAATATTTCTGATTGCACTGCCAACTGTGCAGTGATGAGATGCAGCTGGGAATTCAGATGTGCTCTTCAGCCACCAGAGACACACTTGAGAGAATCACTAATCTCCCCGGGCACCTGGAATGTAGATTATGACTTTTGCAGGTACAGCCTGATCATCCACCTGGGTAAATGTCCCTTTCTCCCTCTTCTGTGGCAGGAGGACTTTAAAGCTACTGTTTGAAACTCTTCTCCCAGAGTTGGCATGGCTGGGTCCTCCAGAGTACGCACAGCTGGACTGCTTTTAACAGCTCTTCCTTCTGAGAGGCAGAAATGATGAGTTCAGCAGTGCTAGATTAAGCTTACAAAACGCGGTAGCATAATTAGCAGTCTGGAATGATCCTTCAAAGCATCATCTAAGCTATGATTTATTATATAAAGCTTGGTGGATTGGCTGCATGAGACTTCTGACTGTTGTGGCTTTGGCCTGCTCTTCCAGCCACGAGCCAGCAGGGCTGCAAGGTGGGACACCAAGCTCTAAGGAAAAGGCAGCATCAGCATATACAACAGATAATAAAGATCATGTTCTAGGGATCCCTTCTCCATGGGAACTACCTCTGTCCATGCTGGGATCTCCTCCTGGCCCCAGCAGCAGTCCTGCACATCACTGTATTTTCTCAGCATTCCCGAAGTATATATCTCTGGTGAAATTGCAGCTGGTTGCTCCATAGCTGTCCTCTGACAGCACCAAGTCCTGAGAATGTTGTATGGTTGTGTTAGTAGAAAGGTAAACTTTATGGATGGCTACAACCGTCTCCAGTCAGCACACATCCTAGAAAGGTCTGTCATAAAGGTTCCGATCTCTATGTGTGGCTATAAGCCTGAATGAATAAAGGCCCAGCAGATACCACTTCTAAAAATACAGCTGAAGTTAATTTCCCAGCTCTTGCTGCACAACTGTGACCGTGATGGATGCATGAGCAAATGAGGTCCCTCTATCTCCTGTCACTGAAAAGGGCACTTTCAACATAGAGAATAAGTTGTCCAGCCTTCCTTGTGTCTGCTTAGAAAACAGAATGTTGACAATTGGCCACAGTTCTTAAAGCTCCTCTCATTAATCTACTTACCAATCTATAAATATGGTAAAATACCGTATTTGGTCCCAATCTTTATTCTGCCATTCAGACAAGGCTGACATCCTGTAGCATTAGTGCTGCATCAGAAATGAAAGATCATGCAGCTGAGACTGTGGAAAGACTCTTTTGCTTTCAAGATATAAATCTTACAGCTTTACATTTCTTGCATAAGCTTTGCCTTATTGTTGTGCATGTGTGTTTGACAGAGTGAGAGTATGTAGTGTTATAAGTCACATGTAAGAGGGTCACAAAAGGGAGATGAAATCAGTAGATTACCTTTTTGGTTATCATTAAAATAAGTCAAACAGGAGGGTCCATTAGGCTTAAAATGCCCCCTTCCTCCTCCTCAGCCTACCCCTAGCTCGGTCTGTCCCTGTGGTTTTGAAGGACTTTTGTTACTTTTTGTGCAAGGAGGAAAAGTGGACCATTCAACTGCCTTTGCTTTTTCTAAGCAAAGTTTTGTTTTTGTCAAGTATTGAGAAAGGTGCAAAGTCCATTTGTCTTCTACTTCGCATAAACCTTCTGGAACTGCAGAGTGTTTTGTTTGATGTCCTGTATTTTATTTTATTTTTAAGACCTTCTGCTAGCTTTTCTCTTTGAGTGCATTTGAAGAGGAGTTTGTCTCCCAGGAAATCTGTATAAGCTCATTTTATGTTTGTTTATCAGATGCTTTCTGTAAGAAACTGCTAATTAATCACTAATTGATAAAAATGAAATAGGCTGCCAGAATTCCCCAAAGCAGCAAGCAGCAGCTGAAGCCAGCGCTTTGGAAAAGCTTTTCCAGAGACAGTTGGTCTAACAAATACATTGACCCAAAGATTCAATTGCTTCTTCTCATTTCTGGTTTTGTACCTCCTTCTTTGTACCTTATGCCTCTCCACATGTTATTAACCCCTGACATTATTGTTGTAAATGATGAGAAAAATAAACCACTCATGTGGTGTGCTTCTAATGAGCTCAGAATTGTGTCTGAAAGGTAAGATTTTGATGTTCTCTTCTGTGTTGGTACCGTTTTGATTACTTGGCCCCACTGACCAAATGGAATGTGTGTGGCTGCCAGCCAAATATTTGAATCGCTGATACCTACCCTATGGCAACAGATAAAGCTCAAGAACCTTCCGAAGTTCACCTACTAGTAACAGTGTGTTTCTATTTTACTGTTTTCCCTCTCCAGTAGAATTAAATGACATGAAGCCAAGTCAGAGCGTCAAAATCCTTTTCAAGAACAGCTGTGCCTCCAGTACAGGTACATCTATCACAGACTCAGCTTTTTTCTTTTTGATTTAATAAGAATGAAACCACTTCACTACCAAGTTCTCAGGTTTATCAGCACTCCCAGAAATAAATCCTGCCTCTGACGAAGTTTGTTTTCTCTCTGATGGAGTGTTTTGATTTTTGGAATAACAGAAGGTCATTGCTTTGAGATAAAGTTTTGTTGCACTTAACCTGTCTCATCAAAATTCATATTCAAATGCCAAGAGACTTTAGTCACATGATAAAACCATGTAAGTACTTTGTGAATAAAGTTGTATATATCTATATTTAAGTATTCTTTACATCTGGGCCAAAGTGTGAATCTATTTGGTTCCATATTTTTGAGTAATAGAACTGAGAGAGTGATCACTTACACAGAGGTGTGTGAATGAATTTTTTTCTGATTTGCTGACCAGGAAAAAATGAATTCCTGAAGCTATGACCTGAAGATTAACTTCTAAAGTTTTACTCCTGCAAAGTAAAAGTGAACATTCTCCCAAACATTTGTGCTTCACTTTTTTAACATTTCAAAGTCAGGTAAATTTTTTATCAAAATGTCACTTCAAAATACAGCTTTAAAATCTACTCAACATTTTTCACTATCAGTGAGAAAAGCCCTATCTTGACTACCCCAAAAATGTTGACATTGTGTGTTGGAGTCAGTTTCTGTTTACTTTCCTTGTTTTGGAATGAAGATTCACAGCATGGAAGAGATCCTGTAACATGAGTTTCGTTATCACTGCTCGCTGCACATGGAAGAGTTATGTGCTAAAGATTCTCAGATAGATTTCCTTGAGTAAAAAATGAATGAGTAAATGAAGGCAAGGAGAAACTTCCTGTGAGGAGCATGCCACTAGCTGTGCCTCAGTTGGATGCAGAAATAAGAACAAGTCTTCTTGACCTGTGAATCTCAGAACCCAAGGCTCAGCTAATGCTTTGGGTTCTGCCTAACACAAAGGTTCAAGAGACAGACCTGGAAAGGGGTCAGGAGAGGGAAGAGATGTGGCTCTATAGTTCCAGCCAGTTTGCTTTTCCATGAGAGAAAATCCAAAGTGTCCCAAACTCCTAATTTCTTCCTGCGGCAAACATCTATGTAGCTCATTAACAGAGTGCCTCTTTCCCACTGTAGAGCTGGTCCTTGGGGAGGATGATAATGTGTTTCTGAGCATTCATTAGCTCAAGAAGCAGTGAATAAGAAAGCTCTAGCTGGGGGCCAGTACTAATCAATATGAGGAAATTTGGGATTTTTTTTACTCTTTTCTGGCAAATGAGCAAGAGATGACATGCCTCCATCTTTCAACTCCTTTATCTTCAATAGACATTGAGATTTTTTTATAGTGAGAAAACATTTAAAAGCAAACAACAACAACAAAAAAGAACAACATAGAGAAATAAGTAGAAAAATTGAAATTTTGTAAGCTGCATAATGTAAGGTCATTGTGGTTTTTAGCTTCAGGTCTTCTGCCTTACATGATGCCTGGTGTGTAGCTGATTTGGGAATGAACCAAGGTCTTTTCAAAGGCATCCTGCTGAGTTTATTCAAGAAAATGGAAACTGAGACTAGCATTAAAGGAAAAGTTTCCCGATCTGACAGTGGATTGCATTCTGGAGAACTGGGGTCCATTTCTAATTTTTCCACAGAGGAAAATTTTTCTGCAGTTTTGTGTGGCACTAGACAAACAGGTAGACCAAAGTTTTCTCAGGCAGCCTCTGTGTTACCCATTTTCCATTTATCTGACTTGGGAGATCTGACTTATAAGAGCATAGAGATATTACAGTTGCAGCTGGAGATTTGGCAATTTGTCATTTGAACACAAGTCTAGATATTTCTAAATATCAAAAAAAGCTCTCTGGAAACTCAGATACTAGTACTTCAAACAGGACATTCAGACTGATAAATATTTATCCTTAATCTCCTTGTGCCGAAATTCTCCCTCTTTACATTGAGAATGATAGCATCTGTCCCATTTCTCCCTGCACACACAGAAGGAGGTGAATTATCCTGTGGTGAGAATGGGGGTCAAATTGCACCAATAAGATGTGAAACATTTGTTTCACGAATAAAGAAGCTCCTAATCTTTCCTAAACAGATAAAAATACAGCTGTTGTTGGGGACAAAAGTTTGGAGAAGTTAAAGAGAAAAGCTCAGTTCTACAGGGCCTGGAGATGATATTCCTAGTGGGAATACTGCTTGACCACCAGGGTGTGTTGAAATTAATGCACATCTATTGACTTAACTGAGTTGGGCCCCAGAGCAAGGAAAGCTCTTTCTGGGGCTCCAGATCCTGAACTCTCATTTACTCACATGAGTTTGGTAGATCTGTGTTGGATATATCCTTCTAATCACGTTTAATTCTGAATGATGTATCCAGAGCGGTGCAGGAAGAAGGCTTAAGCTGTGTATGGGAACTGCTGAATCACAGCCTGAACCTCTGATTGATCACCTGAGGCAAGCAATGAGTCAGCCAGAGGAGCGCAGGTGAAGGCAATTCACCTGTGCTGCCCAAAGGGGTGGAGCCTGGCTGCATCTCTCCTAGACCCATTTAAGTGCTGACTACCAGGGGGGAAGGTTCTCTTCTGGAGGTCCACTCTGCTGGAGTTTCACAGTGAGCCTAGGATATGGGTGAGCATTCTATTTGCTCTGTTTTGGTGTAATAACTGCATAGCCAAGCTTTCTGGTACATTTTGTAGCTATCTCTTATGTACATTCATTGATTATATAAGCTGCCTTTTGAGAAGGTTTGATATAATCTCATTTCATTACGTGCAACTGCTGATCTATCTCCTGTTGCAATAGTCACAAAACCAATGAGAAGAATACTTGTCTTGCTGTCCTTAGCAAAGCTGTGTGGCACTACGCTCTAAGGATATATTTTCAGAAGAAAAATGGTACCAAATAAGAGTCTAGAGATACAACTTGTCTGTTTTAGATGAAGAAGGATTGTCTGTCCTTTTTGAATATTGAGTGTTCTTTACAAAGGCGGGTTTGAAATGCTTTATTGATTACGCAGGAGGTCCAGATAGCTAGGTAACCAACAGCACGAACATTTGGGTAGCAGCCATATGATGAGCAGCATGCGTTTCCAGACAGCTGAAGCTCGTCAAGAGGATTAAAATTTTACTGAAGTTGCTTTCTTTCTTTTGTTATAACTTTCTGGTACAAACATCTTGCAGGCCAGAGAACGTCTGATTTGTTTTAGTTCTTCTTATGTTTCTATTTTATAATATCACTACTGATTCAGTCTGCAAGTTCAGTTAATACTGAATGGCACATCCTACCTTCTGCATGCACACAGCAGCATTCAAGCAGCACTGAGTATGAACAGTGGCACAATGCTACTTCTGGCATAGGGAGGGAAAAGAGACTTTTATTGCCAAGCCCTAGAAGAACAGAAGAGTTACTGATATAGCTAAAGCAAAGAAGAGAGAAAAAGGTATGTTCCATTTCACTGTAGGCTCCAGCATTGGGAATGAGGAAGCAATGTTTCTACTTCTCTGAAGCAGAATGGTTGACTCTGTGTATTAGACTCATCTTCACAAAGACCTTGCGAAGTTTTGTAGGCTTTTCGCAAAACCCACATAATACTGATGCAGACCTAGGATCATTTGAGCTTTGTTATTAAAGCATGGGTATTTTTGTCTGTCTCAAAGCATGGATTTTTCTCTTAATTCTGTAGTAAACAAAAGCCAAGCTTTGTAAGTTGTTTTACTTGGGGAGTTCTATTTTTATCTGAATTACACAATGCAGAAAGAATTCAAACTTAACTTGGCTTGCCAACCCTCTGGTATATATCTGTTTGTGGGAAGGATATCATGATTCTCTGGTAGAATGAGTTTGACAAATTGGAGACAAACAGGTGTGTCTATATGCCCGTATTCATATACCTCTTGTTTTGTGCCTGGATCTTAATCCCCAGATGCCCATGTTACCCAGTGGTAGGACTGTTTTTATGTTTTCTTGTATTGGTATTGGAGTGAGTGGGCTGCTGCCCTTTGTCTTCCAGGTGCTGATTTATAACAGGCTCTCTTCTGCTGTTAATAGAGGCAGAGAAGCAGATACAGCTGTAGAAGGTTGCTCTCCTACGGCATCATGTTTTCCCAAGAATCGCAGTGATGCAGGTTTGCAGTCATTCCCCAGCTCTGATTGCTTTGATCCAGGTAGCTAGATTGTGCAACCTTTCACATGCATCCATCACAGAGCAGATTTTCAAAATCTGCAGTGATTTCACAGGATGCAGGAATTTCACTCAGCTTTGCTCATGTTTCCCACAGTAAATAATTACAATGTTAATGTTAACTTCTGGACCGGACATGCTTGCCTCCACTGTTCTGGACTGGGACTGTCTGCGGTTTCTGTTAATGAAACACCTGCTTTATGCTGTATTTATTATAAAATTTTTGCTATCATGATGTGGGTCCTTGTTTCATAGACCTACCTGGGACGACTTGCCTCTGGGATATGTAATAGGCTATACATTACTTCCTGAAGGCTGATGTTTGTTTTACAATCAATTTGTGGCTACCAAAGCATTTAATGAAAGCATATTGTGATTTTCTGCCTTTATAATCTGCACCATGGTTTCCCATATGCTCAAAGTGTAGTACATCTGTTCCATTTCTCATGTGAATGGCAGTTTTACAGGGCACAGAGCTGCTAATAAAATTACTTTTGACAGTTCAGCTGCAATAGGAAGTTCTTACAGCTTCCAAACTTGTAAAGATGCTTAATTTGTCTTTAATGTTTAGGTGTTTACTCATAATAGAATTTAAAAACATATATTATCTTGTAAAGCAAGCTGGAGTAATAGCCCATTATTTTCTAGTGGAAGGTATTTCTTTGTCATTAATCACCACACGAACTTTTCCTACCTAACCTAGAGATACACAAATAGGCATTGTTAGTGGCATATTAGATAAGTATGCATTTGAAGATAGGCAGATGTTTTGAGAAATAGATGAGGGACAAGCTTAAAGAAGTTTAGTATTTAAAAGCAGAGACTGCAGATACCACTGAATCAAGTAACAAAATGGACAAGAGCAAGACAGATGTGAGCCAATCAATGGCTGTTTCATCAGAGAGAGCAAGTTTTTCCATAGGTAAACTTTTGTCACCCAATCCTGGCAGCATGACATGGGGCAATGTCTTTGTGTAGGAATAATGATGTAAAAAAGCCTCATTTAGTAATGGAAATCAGAACCATTTTCAAAAAAAAAAAAGTCTGCCTATAACAGAACTTTTGAAGTTCTGAATTTTGTTTACTAACAAAAAAAAATATGACTGCTTTCTCCTTGGACTTTTGAACAGTTTTGACTGAAGCTAGAACAATTTTTTGTTTGGTATTCTTAATGTAAGCAGAAAAAAATGATTTTATTAGTAGACCTAGCTATATGGAAATTCTCAAGGAGTCTATGTATGTACTGTCAAATATTTTATAATGCTACAGATTTATGTAAAGTTGAGGATTACTGGAGGAGGACAAAAGCAATCCAGGGGACTCCTATGCCAACAGTAGGCTTAGCGGTAGAAGGAATAGCAACACAAGGACTGTAGAATGGGGGTAGAAATTTGGTGCCCATTTCTTCCTTTGTGAGAACACACACTATGCCTCCTGTAAGAAAGGCATGACTTTGGGTGTTTCTCAGAACCAGTCTCAGCAAAAATCTTTTATTTCCATTAAAATTTCCAGTGCAAAATTATTAAATTTCATATTAGACATATCAGGTAAAATAAAATCTGTAATACTTCAAAAAATAAATTCCAAAATGAGTTTGCATGTCTCTAATCAATGTCCACCTACCTTACTTTCAATGCTCTTTGGACCTCCTTTTGTTGAAATTGCTCCCATGGATTGCGCTCTGCTACCATGGTGGGGGGCAGAGAGGAAGGTGGAGGTGAAATAGGTATTTTAAACCCTCTTGTTTTTATTCACCATCTGTTATACTGCTTCATAGGCAATATATAGTGATGGGTTTTGTAACTTCTCTGGGACTAATGGAGTATTGAAGAAACAATGAAAATTTCACAGTTGTTTAACTGGTTGCTTTATTTCTCCTCCTGCGTTGGTAATATAATCCTGCAGCATCTGTTCTTAATGATAGCCATAACAAGCATGTTGGATGCAGCACACATCACCATTCATAATAAGATAGCGCATCACAGATTTCTGAAAGAAGGAGACACAGCTTGTTTGGCAAAAACTTTAGATAGTTGCAACATTGTTTCTGCTCTCAGAGAGCAGTCTGGTTCTTGGGAATGGAAGGAAACCAGAAAGGCCTCTCCTGCAAACGCGTCATGGCAGGTCCATTCCCTGCCCAGCAGGAGCCCAGCTGTTGTTGCCCGGCAGATTTTCCCAAAACTGAACCTTTATCATGTGAAGCTTTTCCACTCAGTAGGAATCTGCTGCTCACTCACAGTATGCTGGATTTGTTTATTGACATGAAAATACAGAACCATGATAGATGATCCATGCAGAGTAAGTACAACAAATAATGATGCAGCAGTTATTTGAAGCCTCATGTATGTGAGACAATATCCTTACGCAGTATGAAAATCCACATCACATTTCTAAGTAGTGACACCTAAAGGAAACATCCATCCCATCTCACCCACTTTGCCCAGTGACTGGCTCAGATTGGTATTGCTTACAGTAGCTTCAAAGAAGTCAGCAAGCCTTTGCACTTGCCATCACTTTTGGGGATTTGTTGAGAAGACATGAAAATATTTTCAAAGTATATTCAGGCTGTGTGAGATTCATGATAGCAAGCAAAAGAATTAATATTCATCTGAGATAAAAAGGTATTTTGATGGAAGATGGCTTGTGCACGCTAGAACTTCACGTTCTGCACCTATAAATAGTTAGTTCAGGATTCTTTTTTTTTTTTTTGTCATTCTAGAAAGGCTCTGCCCTCCAAAATACATCCAGAAGTTGTCAGACTTCTGTCTTTCACTGTTATGTACCCAAAGGCATACAAAGGGCACTTTTGCCTACAGAGAGCAGAAACAGTCATAGCCCTCTGTTATATTTAATGAACTGTTGGAATACTGTGCAACTGCCAAGTCCTGGATTTCCCTCTGCTGGTTTTAACACAGAAACCAAATAACAGATTTTCTTTCTAACTTACTTTCATTTGCTGTCCTTGTTGTCATTGTGCTTCCGTATAGTTCACAGGAAGCTGAATAAATATAAAGGGCTGATACTCAGAGAAAAATGTCCTCGTAAGTCTGTGCTGATTACAATCTTTCAAATCACGATTAAAATTTGCTTCTTGCAGATTTCTGTAGAGCAGAAATTTCTATTCTGTATTTCAAAAATCACAGAAGCCAACCTGTGCTCATCAGTTCGCTGTGCTGGGTGCACTCAGCACACTTAGGTGCTTGCCTCTGTACTCTCTTTCAGTCTCTCAGAACACAATCTGAGAGTGGATATTGAGATATATAGACCTGCTGTTGCTATTCACTTTTATCTATCTTCTATCAGTTCCAAATTGCAGTGAAAAGGCTGACATTGCAAAACTTTTAGTGTCATAAACTATGATATGATATTTCTGACACAAAGAAATCTTATTTTAATCATATTATCTTATCATAATAATATATTATTATAATCATATGTAGAGCGTCAT